ATTATATTACACATTTATAAAAAAAATATTCAACATTTTATCTATATCTTACAAATCCCAATCTTCATTTCTCCAAAATATCTTTTTTTCTTAGCTTTCATATACTTACAAATTTAAAAAAAACATGTGAGAAATGTGTTATGTATGCATATATGAAAGTTATGGTGATGTATGTTCAAGTAATTGATTTGAATCAATAACATAAGAATCGACTATCAAGTAATATGCATGTAAATCTTACCTGTAAACTCTGAGGGAAAATAGAGCCAAGCAAAAGAAAATGTTAAGCAAAATCAAAACACGACAATAATGAAAGAGGCACAAAAGGACAAACAAAAATAACAAAAAAATGAAAATGAAAATGAGCTCAGAACTTACCAGACGAAAATGCATTAAAATTCCTTTCAAAGGCTGTATGTATTTTGCATCAAACATTTTTAAGTATGGTTGAATTTTAATGAAAAGACTGGAAAACATCATTGCTCAACTAAAAATACCCCACAAATAGGGAAAAGATAAACATGTATCTGAACAAATCAATAAATATGACATAACAAGAAAATTCAATAAATAAGAAAAGAAACAATAAAAATGGAAACAGAAAGCCAATCTACTCTCCAATTTGGCTATAACCAAATTACTAGATTAGATAAAGTAAAAAAAAACCTAACAACGCCAATAGAAAACCAAAAACATAACCAAAGGCCCAAAAACAACAATGAAGCCTTATGAGTTATGACAATTCTTATGCCAACAACCAACATGGAGCAAATAATTAGTAGCAAAAGAACCGAACGACACCAATATGAAACAAAAACAACATCAAAAGTTCAAAACTACAACAAAACAACACCAAATGTCCAAAAGTACAACAAAAAAACAACGCCAACAGCCATACGACAACACCCAGTGTGGGTTGCATATGACTGAATTCCAAATTACCCAGGTTCTCTTAAATTCCAAATCAACCAACAAAAGCCATAAGTATTCACAAAGTATTTACAAGGAATTGAAATATAAATTAGTCTAAAAAGTAAGGGCTTCTCAATAGATAATGATCCAACTTTCTAAATGTTCACAAGCAATTGAAAACACAAACAAAATTTTCATACAAACATTTCTATTATATGAAAAAAAAATGAACCTCTTATGAATTATCATAATATTGATCCTTAGATTTAGGATTAAGGGTCTGTTTGGGGAAGCTGCAACTTATTGAATAATTTGTTGATAAGTTGATTAAAAATAATCTGCTGATAAGCTAGGTACGATGTCTATTATAAATTTTTATTTTTTTCGAAAAGCTACACCGCAACCAGAAAGCTGCCACCGCACCTATCTAGGTGCGGTGTGAAAACGCTGTTTTCAGCGTTTTAAAAATGCATGAGCTGCCAAAATGCAGCTGGTGCGTTTTCAAGATCTCACCGCACCAAATAAGCTTCCCCAAACGGGCCCTAAATGTTAATTTCAGTTATATCTAAACATAATGTGATAACATCATCCTTCTTTAGATTTTTCAAAATTAATCTAAAGGGTTAATTAATGAAATTGTCATACTGACTTTAGAAATTTTTGCTTTCATCTAATAAGATCAAAAGGATTGCTTAACTTTATTATGTCATACCAACTTTAAAAGTATTAAACTCATATAAAGAGTTGCATCATGTAATTAAGTCATACAAAACTTTTGCCATAGATGAACAACTTAGATATCAGTACAACTTCTTTAATAATCATAATCTTCTATATGATTGCACAATATTGTGTCGTACTAGTCATAGAAGATCTACAAAATAACGCTACATAAACAAATATGTTAAAGTATAAGTAACATACTACAACATAGTATCGGAAGAATAATAAGTTTGCAACACAAATAATATAACTATGTACATCAATTAACAAGAGTGTCCACAATTTAAAATTGCAATAATTATATAAATTCATAGCTATCAAAGGTCTTGCGTAGAGTAGAGTTTGCTTCTGATGTTTGGTAGTTGAATATTAATTTTTTTTTTCTTTTTAAGTATCTCTTATTGAAAATAATTAATAAAAAATATTGATATTTAATAGTAAGAAAGAGAAGGAAATAAAGACAAGTATATTCAATGAAATGATTACCAAAGGTGTCTTCATTTTTTTTTTGAGCGGATCAAATCTAACTTGACACGAAAACCAATGTATTAACCATTTTAGTAGTGAAATTGCTTCTATAATCATCTAACATTGGTGTCAACACTAAAAGTAGATTCTAAGACAATCGTGCTTATATATATTAATAAAATATCTCAAGTCATAATTGAAAGTTAGGGATACTTTAGCGTATTTATCTTTCACCATTGAAAAACATCAAAATATTCACTAGACACATAAATAATCCTTCCTCAAGGTATACTTCTAAATTGGGCTTAGATGGTTCCACAAATCCAGAAGCTACAACTAAATCTTGAAATCCAAACATAGAGTCAAACTGATGTGGAGAAATCATAAGATTTATTGCACATGAAGTTCTCTCACGTGAAACATTGCTTGTAAGAATAGGACATGTGCAATCAACAACATAATTTGCATATATTTTTTCACATGACATCTTGAACTAATTTAAGATTTTGATTCACCTCATCATGTGAAAATATCTTCTGGAATGTTTACTGATAAATTTGAGTTTCAATCTAAGGTCTAAAGTTGCTGCAATAAACATCAGACGATTGCATTCTCCCTAATATTTATTGAATTTAATTTGCATACTCAAAACCATATTTCTCCGATAACAATCTTCCAGAATTGACTCCTCTATTAGAATCTTCTTAACATGCATAACTGCAGACAAAAATACATTTGAAGTGGGAAAGATAGTACAGAGATTATTTTCGTAACAGTATTGAAAACTGAAAGAAATTTTATGATCTTCTCATATTTCAACCAATCTGAATTAGCTGATAACTATTTGTAGTTACTATTTCTAATTGCATAGTGCTAAAAAATATTACGATAAATAAATGCAGACCCAATAAATTGAAAGTTGAGTTTCATCTAATAGAAATATAAATGGATAAAGATCTTGTGGTTGAAACTCTTAATTGTTTCGTTGCTTCTACAAACTTAAGTAATCTTGCAAGGGATTTTTTCAAATATTTCACCTACTCTTTGATACATGTTTGCTTCAAATGAATACATGCTTGCTTCAAATGCAAAACTTTTTAACACATTTTCTCTTAGCATTAGATAACAGGAAACTCCTCTTTCATGATGCAAAAGATACTCATGGCCATGAAAACATATAAGATATATACAAGCTTAAATATTAATAACAACAAAGGAATTAAGCCGTAAGAAAAGCGTAACACCGACATTCTCCTTATTTATGAATTGATGTTATTATTGTATTGAAAGAAGAAATAACTGATACAGAACTTTTTGTGCTCTCTTACCGAGAGAGAGCCTAACAACAACTTAAAGGGGTATTTACATACATAGCACCTAATTCTAATATATTTACATATCTAACTCCTAAACTTTGCTTTTACATTTATAATGCTTAAATCTTCCTTATCACATCAATTGATCAAAGTACCATTGGTTTAACTTTTAAAAAAGAGACATCTTTTCATGTATAGGTAAGCCAACTTACATGTAAAAAATGAAGTTCAAGTGTTCGATATGTAAATAAACAAAAGAAATGTGCAGTATTTATGTAAAGAAAGGGCTTTCACGGCCATTCCTGAGGCTATAGTATATAGCAACAGTTTAAAGACTGCAAGTCAGCACCAAGGCCACTGTAAAGGGTAGATATAATCCACTGGAATAATGAACTGAAAATGAAATAGCTATTGGAACATTTCAACCCATAAAAAGGCACCAATCTAAAATAGATATGGAAAAAATATAACATCACTGCATCACCATAAACCCAGATAGCATGAATACCTGTCGTTGGTACACCAATATACAAAACCCTAACCAGTAATCAGAGAATAAAAAAACCATACTCGCATTCTTGCCTCCAGTGAGGATAATAACTTCTTAAGTAATAAAAACGAGAGATAAGAGAGGGACTAGCCAAAAAACCTTACAAAACTAAGTAAATTAATTTAGATTTCACAGAAGTGGGTTACGAATCACGACTCAAAAGCCACAAGCAAGAGAGTGAGAGACTATTACTCTTTTGCCGGTGAGGAGGCGAAAGAGGCATAGGAAATCAACGTCGTCGTCGATGAAGAAAAGCCCTAACCTGAGACCGAGAGGCCGGAGCTTTTGCTTGAAGATTCTCCTAAGCAGCACAACAACGCGAGTGAGTTTTATGATATCTTATATTCTTATATTAGTTATGTTATATATATATATATATAT